TCAACTGACCGCAGCACACCTACACCAGGGTAACCCTCCGCCTACCCTGCTCCTGCTTTACAGGTGAAAATAGAGCAAAAGGACCACTGAGTCTTTGACTTTATTTATTTTCTGCTGTGTTTTACTTGCATCTGTTTGAAAGAGTGAGTGAAAACACAAAAAATATTTTATTTTATGTGCTGGAATGTGTAGAAAATAGGTTTAAATGTTAAAAGTTAAAAGATTAAAACTGATAAAACAAGTTAAAAAAAGAGACTTTTCCATTTGATTACATTTTGTATGATGGATTATGTAGAAAAAGTAGAATTGGGCTGAAAGATCTATCACTTTATCACCTCTTCAGGTTGTAAATCGTGTTTTTAAAAAGTAACTAAGTAACTAAGTAATTAATTACTTTTGAAAATAAGTAATCAGTAAAGTAACGGGATTACTTTCTGGGGGGAGTAATCAGTAATTAGTTACTGATTACTTTTTTCAAGTAACTTGACCAACACTGGTGTGTATAACCTCTTTTTTTAAGTTTTGTGGATATTATACATGGTTATGCTGAGGATATGTCGGCCAATTTCCACTGGAAATGCCTTTTGGTTAAACTGTCAGCAAGGAATTTGCATTTGCACAGTTAAATTTTTTATATAACTTTAATGCACATAAAAAACAGCTGCTTGTTTAAGTGAAAATACATTGCACTAATAAAGTTGTGGAGTTGTAAAGTATTTTGTCTAGTGTCAATTATATCGTCAGTTATATCGTTATCTCAAATTTTCAAATGTATATTGTGATAAATATTTTTGCTCATATCGCCCTGCTCTACTGGGATATCTTACCTGCTCTGCTGATGCCACAGATGAAGCCAGTGAAGAGGTCTGGCCTGCAGGAAGCTCCAGATTAAGATCCAAACTGAAAAATAAAAATCTAATTAATTAATATTAATGAGCCTTTTGTGTTTCAAAGCAGCCTTGTAAACAGTGAAAGAGGTGCATCCTCGATCTTAATGAAAGTCATTTGAATAAAGCTTTTAGTACAGTTCATTTTATACACTGCAGTTGCCAATTTCTTTCCTAATGCTTTTAGACAGCGTAGAGATCTTACCCGGCTTCATCAGCCATCTCGTGCAACAGCATATCCACTTCATTCTAGGGACCCAACAAGCAAATAGTAATTTAAAAAAAAAAGGCCTTTAGAAATGAAACAACTGAATAAGTATGCAGTGATCCTGCATGCATAAGCAGCAACAAGGGCTCAGGAATGTTTCCTTCTTGGGAGATAACAGGAAGTGTTACCTGAGGCGTCGTTAGAGTGGTGGTGCTGCTCATGGTATCCTCCATCTGAGCTGTCTGCACGTCAAGAGTTTCAAACTGCTTTTCAAACTTGTCCATCAGTGCAGAGATCTGTGCAGAAACACAGTGAGCCCAAAAAACGAATTAACGAATAGAAATTTCCTGAATAGTTTTTGTGCCATATGCTGCAAACAGCCTCTAACCTTCTCCAGGTTCATGCTTTTCAGTGTAGCATCCATAGACTTCACCACTCCAGACATGGATTTTGACACCTGGGAAAACAAAACATGAAATAAACCACTGAAGCTTGGGTGCTGTTTTCCAACGTGTCCACTAGGTGTCACTTTAACCCTTTTAACTAGACACTCTATCATGACTCTCTCACACTAGAAGCACCTCTAATAGTTCTAGGATGATGCTGATTAAAGATTAATCTAGTCAAAAACAAACCTACCATTAGGTAAACAAGCTGCGGTAAATGGGTTTATAATAAATGCGATGGCATTAGCTTTAATGAGAGGCAGCGGTATTATAGCAACACACAAGGGTGCTCAGAGGTGTTGCTCGGCTGTAACATCTCACGCACTCCTTCCATTTCTGCAGACATTATTACGCTTTACTCTGTGAAAAGGTGCCTTTCCTGTAGTGATGCTGAATTAAAGCAATTTAAAAGAGGCCGTCACTCTCACAAGAGCGAGGAGCTAATAGCACAAGGTCTAAAGCGCCTCTAATGACATTATGTTATTGGTGTCTTTTTGTTTGCATGTCTGCGAGCCCTTTTGCCTGACTCTGAAGTGGCTGCGCTTTTCACCTCTTCTGAAATAAGATGTCATTTTCAGAACATGCACAGTGAAAAAAATACATGCATAAGATTTGATGTGGTGAACGAGCACACTCCTTGTAAATGTAGGACAAGAGGTTTTGATGTCATAGCACATGCAAGGCTACGATGAAATCTGGTTTACATATATAACCTTTTAAAAATGAAAAAAAAAAACCCCACTATATTTACACATCTGAATGTGTGACAAATATCTGGAATAGTTGCAGTACACAACTATAATTACTTATATCATTCTTTAGAATCACTGCAATCCAAGAGAAGCAAAACTGATTTTGACTTTGAATGGAACGTAAAAAGCAAAGTACAACCAACTCAAGCCAGGGAACATTCTCTGTCTTAATGTATGCCATTAAAAGAGTTTTTCGGTGGTCATCGTTTACATTACAGTGGAAAAGCAAGAGAAGTGGCCTGCAAACCCATGACCCACAGTCCTGACCTGGTTCATAGTGACAGCTGTCTGGACCCTAGAGGCTACAGCGTCCACCCGGGCACTCATCCTCAAGAAGTTGATGGACTGGTGCTTCTGCCGGATGGCGTTCTCTGCATGGATCCTGGCTGCCTCCATATTACCCTTCTGGATAGCCTGAGAAACACAGCATACACACACAGTGTAACACGCGGTGCAGTTATACTGTGGGCCAGCTTTTCAAGACTCTAATAAGTGTAATAAACCAACCTGCTTCACTTTAGTTTTTTCTGACTTTTCCTCTTTATCACATTTCCTGGAGTTACGCTGTAGCTCCTTGGCAGCAAACTTCAGGTTGAACAAGTGTTCTTGAGCAGCTGGTCAAGGGGTTGTTTCATGTTAGCAGAGCACTGGTAATAAATCCAAATTACAATTTAATGCTATGAGGACGAGTCTGAATACATCTAGCTTATTTAACCCAAGTCAGTGGTTCTCATGATGCTAGCGAAAATTTAGCCAAATATAAAAAGAAAAACGTGAAAACAAGGTCAGGTTTTTGCTCATAACGACACAACAGAGCAGAACTTCCATGTATGAAAGAGTTAGCTTAAGCCCAACTTATGACTAGCTACGGTTTTGCTAGGCAAATGTACGTAAGAGTACAAATGAAAGGATACTTTCCATATTCGACATGATAAAAGTCTTTTTCTGAGACAACTACTGAGTTTCGTAATGTACAAAGTAGCATCCAGACACTCGCTTTTTTTCAACCGGAGATGCTTGTTTTGATTTTTGAGGGTTGTACCATACGGCAGTGTAGCGAGGCAAGATGCATCGGTTGCAGATACTTCCGCTTTTGTTTTAATTCGGTTAAAAAAGAGTGGTAGATTTTTTTTATTTGTCTTTCTGTCCCCCAAAATGCTCTTATAACCGTGAAATATTAATCCGTTGGTTAGGCAGTTACAAAAATAAATTCCATCGCTCGCAAAAAATGCTACTAAGTGTGAGAGATTAGGAATTCTCTTATCACGCATGCGCCAAAGAGCGTCTATTAGACACGACGACTATTCCCGAATGTTCCTTCTTGTTTTTGGTGGTATTTATGACCTTTTTTCTCAACATTTGCATCTATATTTTATTAATAGCCCACTATTCGGCCCATATTTACACGTACAAAATAAGCTTTGTCACTAATTAATAAATTATCTGCATTAACAATGTCGATCTATGACTAAGACCTTTATATCGGGGCAGAAGAGAGATGTGTGAACCATCTTAGTTAATCTTTATCTTTGAATACAATCGCTGATACTTCTGGCCACCTTTCACCGTCGTCACACTTGATCACGATTCTGCGTGACGTGCTCGCGCCTTCTACGTCACGACCGTTGGAAAAGTGGACTGGGTGCGCGTGTCCAAAGCAAAGCAGACAAGTTCCATCCAGGCTAAAAATAGTTTACCCGGTATCGGTAGGTTGTGGTACACGTCTAGTGACGTCATTTGTGTGTGTGTGTGTGTGTGTGTGTGTGTGTGTGTGTGTGTGTGTGTGTGTGTGTGTGTGTGTGTGAGAGAGAGAGAGAGAGAGAGAGCGAGAGAGAGAAGGGGTAAATTTACCTTTTCCACAGAGCCAGCCGTGTTTGACTTAACGCTTTCACGCATATCCTTCCACTTCATTGCGGATGCATTAACACGTAACTAGGTAACATCTGGAACTGCTTGTTTATAGAGTTCCGCGGAAAGAATGGCTGTGTGAGCTAACACGGCAAGGGAACACGCGCGGGGATTTGTGCAAGTAGGTTTTTAAGGGATGGAGCACGAATTTGCAGTATGAAGGGGGGAGAAGGATTATTGGCTGTAATTGTCCAGATAGAGAAAGTGTTCCAGTGTGTGCGTGCATCGGCCAGCCAAAGAAGGCTCGGGTTTGGGGAGGGGGGGGTTAAGGCTGGGTTAGGGGGAGGGAGCTGCATGGATGACTCATACTGTATCTGCTGACACTTTGTGTGGACACAGCATTAGATATAATGATGTTTTCGTGATGAGAAGCGGTTGAGAAAATGTCCCCCCAAAACCATATGTCCCGACATTTATGGCCTCAACCTCAGCCACGGTGTAATACTGAGGTGATGTGGTAGCAGTTGAGTTCAGCGCTGACACGTCAAACACACAGAAAGGCCACATAATAAAGTGAGGATTTGTTGGTACACGCACAGGTTGCACGGCTGTGATTAGTTCGTCCTGTAAACTTTTATTCTTCTTAATGCAGGGCTGGCACGAACACTCGAATTATCCCTGACACTTGTTAACGCCCTCTTTACCACCACAACTCCACCATTGTTGTGAGAAGACTGCTGCACGCGCACTCATCCGCGCGCGCGTGCACGCGCACTCCCCAGTCATAACTGAATGACGGCAGGTCGCTATGGAAACTGCGTTACGCTCCAGGCTGCCGAAGGAGAAACAAGAGCGCGAGGACTCGTTTCATTCTTCATTTCAGCACCACGCGCCTCCCGGACAGCGCCCGAATGAACTCGCGCGCAGATTCTGGCAACGCATGCCTTATAAGGGACCCAGCCGCGTCAGCATCGAGTCTAAACGGAGCGGGCAGGGACTTCAAAAGAAAAAACAAAGCCAGTAGAAAACACGAACTCTCCGGACCTGTAGCTCGGTGGATACCCGCTGTTTCATCCCGCTGACAAGTCAGGAGCCGCTCGCTCCCTCAGATGCCTCAGCAACAGGTAAGAACACTCAGCTCTGTGAAGTTTTTTTTTTTCTTTTAATCCCGTTTTTAAGTTTTTAATTCTCACGAGTGCTGCCCTTTACCCTGGCAGGCACTTCATTGCGCTTAATTGCCTCCACTTGCCACAGGACTGTGAAACTGTACAAGTGGTGAACTATAACACCCAACAGGTGTTAACTTTTATGGGAAAAATTAATAGCTGTATTTTTATTTCTTATTTATTTCTTTATTTTAGCAATGTACTGGTGAACTCAAGCACTGCATTTAAAAATACAGGCTTTCTTCTCAGTAAATATTGTGTTATAAGCTCAGTAAGTAGCCTACTGAGTTGTCTTCCACTTCAGTATTCATATGTTTATAATATTTCAAGGGGATAAAAGTAAAAATCAAGGACTTGCATGCAAATAACATATATGCATGTATGTATGTGTGTGTGTGTGTGTGTCTGTCTGTCTGTCTATATATAGGTATATATAAAGGACATATATTTAGAGTATTCTAACCACAGGACTAACTCTCCCTCCTGTGTGCTACTTGACAGATTTTATACACAAGACATTCACCTGAGTTTACAGAGCCTTATTGTTTGTTTGTACATGTAGCCCAGTGTGTATGAGCTTCTCAGATTTGTTGGGTTTTCAGTGGCTATAGATTATGTGTGAGCTGAGCCGATACGCCTGGATGAGTCACTCAGGCTGCAAGTTTGCAGGAGAGTGAGAAAGGGGGAGGGGGGTTGTGGGGGAAATACAAGGGGCCAGTTGGAAAAACGCTCCTGCAGTGCCTCGTCAACATATTGTGTCGCTGTGCGTGTGATAAGTGTAAACATCTGGAGGTGTTTGTATCAGCTCTGGATGTATGATCATTTTGCGATGTGAAGTTTGCCTGGTTAAAGTGGGACACGTGAGCCGATGTCTCATCCACAAAAGCTATTTAGGAGCTCTGTGCTCTAAGACTCAACTTCTTTTCATCCTGGTAAGCAGTTCTTCAAAAAACAGCAACTTCTGTACTTCTGTAGCTTTATGTACGATCTGCACTTATGCTGATTTAGTGTTTGTTGAAATGCATGCAAAGCTTTCTAAGACGCCCCCATTATAGATTTTGTTTGTGGTTGTTACAGACTATAACCCTCTGGTGTCTGACTAAATGATACCAGAAAGCATCCGATTACTGCTCATTATTATCCCACTGTTTAGCCTGCTAGTATTGACAAATCATAGCAATCAGCTGCATTCAGCTGTAGCACTGAGTGACAACTATTGATTAAAGCAAACAATAGATCATAATGGGCTGCTATGAACCACAGTTGCAAACACGAACACGAGCACTCACTCGCCGAAACACTTTGACAGGCGCTCACAATCGCACACTCAGTCACTTAACAGAGACTCTTCAGACTGACTTGGTTAGGCAAATAAAGATATTGTGCAGCTTATTGAAAATATTTTGACTCTTTAGAGATTTATTAATGGAGTCTGGATGCAGAGGCTGAGTGTGTAAGTGCCAGGAGGACTCCACATGTTAAATGCCAAACAGCATAATTAGCTCTTATTTAATTTCTCTTTGTTTCAATTTGGGTTGGAATTTTTTTTTATACATTTAACATGCAGTCCCACAAATGGATGGAGTTATTGATTGTAATATGCACGCATCATGTGCTGCACACACGGCCACAAAAACAGATGTGTGTCTTTAATTAGTGACGTTGGTGTGATTAATGCAGTCTGCTGGTGATGACTCATTCAACTTAACCCTTTCTTGTCCGGTGAAAATAATAAACAAAGGTTGCATTTTATTATCTTTTATTATTATCTTATACAAAGGCTAAGTAAATGTTATATTTTGAGTTAAAGGAATTACATTAAATCCTGAGCCAGCAATTAATAGATGGAGTGTAAATAAAGTGACTAATTAACACGTTGTAAGTCATGAGCAGTAAATACTGTAAAGCATTTCAGACTCTTTTTGTAACTCGACCACTTCCCCATAATTTGCTGTGACCTGGGTGAACAGTTGAAGAGTATTTATGCAAAGCACATCTGCGTGGTTTGCTCCATGTGTCAGCTTGTCAACACAGCAGTTACATTAGCATTGTGGAAAAGCTGTCAGCCAAGCTGTGACTTGCAGACAGCAGACTGGCAGAGAGTGTGCATATGAGTGATACTGAGTGTGTGTGTGTGTGTGTGTGTGTGTGTGAGAGAGAGAGAGAGAGAGAGAGAGAGAGAGAGAGAGAGAAACACACAGCATATTTCATTGAGGAGCTGTAATAAACTCTCATTGTCATCCCTCCCTTCAGGGCAGCAGCATGTCTGAAAAGAAATCCAGTCAGCGATTTCACAGCCTGAACGCTGAGCAGGTGGAGGTTCTCCATCAGGTTCTTTCAGAGGTGGTTCCAATCCACGGCCGTGGGAATTTTCCCACGCTGGAGCTGCGTCCTCGTGACATCATCATTGCCGTGCGGGCCAGGCTGCAGAAGCAGGGAATCACAGTTAGAGATGTTCGTCTGAACGGCTCCACGGCCAGCCACGTCCTTGTCCGAGACAACGGAACAAGCTACAAGGACTTGGACATCATCTTTGGAGTGGAGTTGCCCACTCAAGAGGAGTTCCAGGTGAGATTACTGTAGCGTTTAGACACCAGTTACCTGCGCTGACAGCACTGAATAAGCCATGTAGGGGTTGCAAATGATTTTTACTGGGGTTCTGTTAAACATGATATTGTAATCCTAACCATAATTAATTTGTAGCTGAATCGATCATGCTTGTTTTAACTAGATTATACCAAAACCTAAACCACAGCAATGATTTTTATTTCAGTAGATCGTTGTGATTAGTTGTAGCTGTCATGCTGTTAACTTTTTGCCCTCCCAGGTGATCAAAGAGTCAGTGCTGGGCTGCTTGCTGGACTTTCTGCCTGCTGCAGTCAACAGGGAACGGATCAGCAACGCCACAATGAAAGAGGCCTATGTCCAGAAAATGGTAAAAGTCTTCAACGAACATGACCGCTGGAGCCTCATCTCCCTCTCAAACAACAGTGGCAAAAACCTGGAGCTCAAATTTGTGAGTGCGCTCAGGCGCCAATTTGAGTTCAGCGTAGACTCCTTCCAGATCATTCTGGATCGTCTTCTAGAGTCTTACATGCAGAAGGACTCGCAGCGCAAAATGAATAAGGTTGAAGTTAAGGACCAGCCCGCAGAGAATCAGAATAAATACTCTCCTTCCCTGCTGAATCAAACAGCTGCGCCAGAAACAGAAAAGCCCACAGACAGAGACATTTTCGGTGAAGAAGGTGCTCAAAACAGCCAGATAAAACAGAGAGATGAGGTGCAGGAAAACAATTCTCAGACCGAATTCTCGCAACAAACTGTACATTCAAACCAGACAAAACACACAGCACTGGAGAAAGACAGCAAAGAGAAAATACCTGAAGGGTTGAAGGAAGTGTCAGAGCACGGAGAAAACTTAAACCAGACAGGCCAGACATCTTTGTCAGAAAAGAAACAAGCCCCTGAGGAAGCTGAACCACCAGCTCAGATTGAACATGAGCCAGAGCTCTTGGAAAAGACTGAAGGCTCAACAAAGGTAGAACAGTTAAAGCAAGCGAAGCCCTGTGACGACTTACCACCAGCACATTCAAACCACGGAGAACTCTCTGTCCAGAAAGAACTTGCTAACCACACAAAACCCCCTGATGAACAGAAAGAACTAGCAGAGCAGATGGGACAGTCTGAGATGCCAAAAACCTCAAACGAAACCCAGGGAGAGTGTCTGAACCTTAGAGAAAGCCCTCGCAGTACAGAGCAATCTGATAAAACAAACGTATCTAAGTCTTTCGGAGAGTATGAAAGCAGCAGTGAGGAAGATAAAACACAACATGTGCCAGCTCTACACACTAGTACATCCTCACACAAGTTAGCAGATGAACAAAATGCAGAAACAGAGGAAGAAATAGAAGAAGAGAGGAAAACTGACACAGAAATATGTGAAATCACAGAGAACACACAGGGTATTGATTGTTCCTGCTCCTCCTCTTCCGCTCTCACACTTTGCAGCACACAGCTTCCTGACGCACAGGATTTGCTGGAGATTGACAACACACAACAAACAGAAAACTCAGAAAAAACACCTAACACACTTGATGCCGCTAACCCTCCAGATACTCAGGATATTTTACTTCCACCACCTAGCCTTTCTTCTGACAAAAAGACCTCCTCTGCTCCCCCTTGTAAGGCCTCAGAGAGACTATCTCACATGGTGGTGCTCAAACACTCATCCCCCAAACCCCCTCGGAGGATGTGCAGAAAGGTCACCCCCAGTCCTAACCCCAGCTCACTCCCCGAAAACGAGTTACTCGTTTCTGTGCCCTGCCTGGAGTCAAACCCTCACGCGAGCCCCGAGATAGCCTTTAACACAGAGCCAACTGCTTCCAGTTCAAACTCTACAGCTACCCCAACAAGCACCATTCCTTTTAAGACTAATTCTGAACCTAGTCCTTCCAGTAACCTAGCTTCAGATCTTAACTTTAGCCCAGCTCCGGATCCAGCCCTTGATATAATCTCCACCTCTACTCTGAATTCCATGTCTGCTTTACCTCAAGACCCACCGGTTTCTCAGTTAGCCACAGAAGACCCAGGTGAAACGGCTACTCAGAGCCCTACTGAAACACCAACTACACATGTGGATTTCAGTGAGCCCAGTCAGTCCTCCCCTACAGAAACTGCCAAACAAGTAGAGCCCCTTGACTCAGCAGACATGTTAGTTTCACAGTCAGATCCTTCTAGTTCCAGAACAGAACAAGAGACCAAAAAGATGGCTGTGAATCAACCAAGTGACAGCCCGCAAGGGTCCGCCTTCAGTCCAGCTTCTCCTGTCCACTGTGTTACACCTCCTGTGTCCTGTCTCACCCCTCCAGTAGTTAGTCTGTCCCCTCCTTGCCTAACTCCCCCGCCCCCCATCCTCAGCCCTCCCCCATGCCTGACCCCTCCATCTCACTGCCTCTCGTCTCCGATGCTAAGCACTGTCAGCCCTGCTACTAGCTTTAGCTCTCCAACCCTAAGCTTCAGCCCTACCTCATCCTGCCTCAGCTCACCTCCTTACCTCACCCCTCCAATGCTCAGCTTGAGCCCTACACCGCTCTGTCTCACACCCCCTTCCCCCTGCCTGAGCCCTCCCCTCCTCTGCCTCACTCCACCGGTGGAGTCGGAGGACCTTGTACCTCAGGTATCTTCAGACATGGAGCCTTTGATACTAAACACGGACAGTGATGAACAGATTAAAGAGTCTTCCCCTCAGCCGGGAGTTCCTCTCTTACAGTTGGAGGTTAAAAAAGAACATGAATATATCTCATCTTTGCCTCAGGTTACTGAGCCTGTCTCTTTTCCAATCACTATCCCAAGTTCCACCTCACATGTTCTGCCTCACTCTCAGTCTGAATGCCCCGGGGAATCTGCCTCTCCAGAAGCCACTGAGGCAGCCAACTCTGTGCCTGAGAACAAAGAGGCCCCTGAGGTAACCACAGACACTTCTGAACAGTGTGACTCTCCTCAGGCATCTGACTCAGTCCCTGCTGTCGAGGTCCTGGCAGAGAGCATGTATGGTGACTTTGAGGCAGCCATGGACCACCTGCGCTACCGCCTGATTGCTACCAGGAACCCCGAAGAGATTCGAGGTGGTGGCTTGTTGAAATACAGCAACCTGTTGGTGCGAGACTACCGACCAGCCAGCGAGACTCAGATAAAGACACTGGAGCGCTACATGTGCTCACGCTTTTTTATTGATTTCCCTGACGTGCAGGAACAACAGCGAAAGATCCTGTCCTACTTGAAGAACCATTTTATCGGCGAGGAGAGAAGCAAGTACCAGTACTTGATGACGTTGCGTCGTGTGGTAGATGACAGCACAGTGTGTCTGATGGGACACGAAAGGCGTCAAACACTGAATATGATCACAGTGCTGGCACTGAAGGTTCTGGGAGAGCAGAACATAATACCCAACACAGACCATGTGACGTGCTTCTACCAGCCTGCCCCGTACCTTGCTGAGCACACTGCCCCCTATCTAGCAGAACCCAGCTACTGCAGCTACTACATACCCCAAGGGGGATCAGCTCTGCTGTACCAACCTTACCCTTTACACCTGCACCCGCAAACTGGACTTGTGTAAAACATGCATGGATACACATGTCATTACACAAAATACACAATTGAGCTAGGGGATGGTGCATGCTCCAAAGAAAAAGCTTGAGAATGGAAATATAATCCAGGGATAAACTGTTTGGTCTATAATAGACCTATGGGGGTGGGATTGAGTGGGTTTTTACACTAAACTCCCCAAGTACTCTGTAAGGTTCTAACATGATTATATGTAATTATTTGGGCTTTGTGGAAAATACTAATTCTTCCGATATTGTTAAAAATTCCAGAAAATGCTGTATGCACTACATGAGTCATAGGCCTTTGGTCTCCCTGGGAAACCAAATGTGCTGTGGACATTCTCTCTCTCTCTCACACACACACACACACACACACACACACACACACACACACACACACACACACACACACACACACACACACACACACACACACTTCCAGGGTCTTAAATTCTTGTAAACTCTTTCCATGTTCTTACTGTGTTGTTCTTAATGGGTTTGTTCAGAATGTGGACCTTGCCTGTGGTTGATATTGTGCATGGATAAATTAGGACTGTTCACTGCCAAATACTGTGTGACTACTATGCTTCTTAAACAGTTTAATGTAACTTTGTTATTCCTTTACCGAAAGAGGTGTATTCCAAAAAAAAGGAGAGAGGGATAAGTCTACTAGTGTGTACAGTATTTTTATCAAATCACTCTCATACATATAGACACACATACATGCATACATACATAAAGAGATACAAGGTAACGCATATTACTGTATACACACAAAGTTAGACAATGCATGAGTAGCTTAAAAGGTCACATCCTACAATCAAAACAAGGCTTTTAATTTATTAAAAATTGATCTATTTTTGCAAGACTTTCCAAGATTATACTCAGTGGTAAAAAGACTGATTAGTTCTTACAAAAAAGTCTAACAACATTGCCTTTGGAATAGACTGTACAGCGTATTGATTACAGTATATCGTGTGAAAATACACTGCGTTGTTTTCAGGTAAACTGTGTTAAGATGTGCTGCTTGATTCCTTTCTGTTGTGGAGTCTTTTCTGTAATCATGTGAAGTATTGTATCATCTAGTGTTAATTTAATTAATACTGCGGTTTACTCTATGGAGGCGGTCAGGTTAAAACCATCTTTGGGTCATCTCTAAACCTGGCAGATGCAGCTCTGTCTAAACCGATTTGCTTTAAAACTCATGCGACTCCTCTCAGCGTACATCGGCTTCGGCCGATTCGCAGCAGAACCCACGTGAATCGAGTTCGGATCCACCTCAAACCTGTTTGAATCTCAGTTTGAAACCGTGCAACAGCAACTATGACCAAAGATGGTTCGGTAGGGAAATCAAGTGCCTAAATGTGAGACATCATTGGCATGTCTTTATCTCACTGCACTGGGGATGTTAATGGGGTGGGCCTGGGGCTGGGTTGGGTGTTTGTTCAGCTGTTGACCCCTGTTATTGCTGCCCATTTTGATGTCTTCTTTAATGTAGTCCTGTTGTAGTTTCTGTATGTACATTTTGATAAAATAAAGGGGAGACTCGACAAACCTTCACATGTGAGTGAAACTGATTCTTTTTTCCCCTTTTTTCAAATCGGTTAATGCTTCGACTGCAAAGAGAAAAAGAATTCCACTATCGTATTTTCCTGCCTTTTTGCACGCACGTTCATAACCTCATGGCACTCCCGAAATGACATGCTGTGCAGCTTACATATCCTTCCCCGTGATTAAGCTCTGTAATGATCCACTTAAGCGTGACCGACAAATAACGATGGTGCCCAGGAGAGCGACCCAGAGCTGTAAAATTCTGTCTGTGCGAGGCCTCTTATCACAAATCACCTGTCCTTCTGATGTGTTTGGACACAGATGACGCACGAGCTACGCAACACAGCAGGCTCAACAATGTGTAAATGTGAGGAGAGTACGGTTCATGAGGTGTGAGAGTGATCGGGGAGAAAGGAGAGGAGGGGGACGGTGTGTGTGTATGTTTGTATGGGTTGGAATTTATGATACTACGGGGTCCTAAATCTGTTTACATAGTCATATTTATGGGGACTTGTCATCTTTATGAGGACATAAAGCAATTTAAATCACTACAGAATAAGATGGGGACATATTTTAAGGTAAGGCGATAAGGTTAAGGTATGTCTCTAAGAAATGACTGTAAGTCAAGAGTCCTCTGAAGCCATGGTAACACAGCCTTGTGTGTGTTCTTCTGATGGAAATATTTGTGCAGAGGCGGCATCAGGTGGTCCCTTTCCCCAGCTAGTAATTGAAGAGACTTACAGTATAATGAAACAATAGGACTCCCTCCTTACTCCCTCATTCCATCCTTTCCTCCCACTTCACACCACTGATAGGTCATTGGCACAGGGGGAGACGAGGTGTATCTTGCGAGGAGGCTGTATTGCCATGGTCACGCAGCATCTATTCCCACACAGTAGGGCTTGCACACGCACGCGGCTTTCTGAGAGGAAACGGGAGCATGTGATCTAATAGTGTCTGTATCAGTGTTTCACAGACCTCTGAGCTACTCATGTCCACTCAGGGTTTCCATAGAGACACAGACAGGGAGCACTGTGGGTGCAGAGAGCATGACGGAAGACAGGGAAGACCCACACACCAAATGAGGGGGAGAAAGAGATGGGAAAAAAACAGGAAGAATGAAAAGAAGGTGGGTGAGGTGAAAAGCTAGTGGACGGCGATGATGTATGGATATAGAAACGGAGCTGAGGAGGAGACGGAAAGCAGGGGATGAGGAGTGAGTGAGGTGGGAGGGGGGTGGGTTTATAGATGAAGCCAGGCAAGAGAGGAGCAGGAGCATGGGAGTTTGATGGGGAGAGCGTGGGAGGTTGTCAGGCCTTCAGTCACAAGGGAGTCACCGTGAGGTGGCTGCAGTGACGGCAGCAGTGATGTCAGAGCAGGAACACACACACACATGTCCACACACATCTGCATGCACATCAATTTTCCTAATGGTCTGCCCACCCGTCCACCCTCAATAAACATTTTCAAACTCAGTGAGACAAAAAGAGAACATCACCCACACATCTGCCTTTGTCTCTTTCTGTCCCTCACACACTCAGGCCAATACATTTGGTTAGATGATGTTCTCAGCACCATTTTATGAACACAATATGGGTTCTAGTTTGATATGCTCACATTGCCTAATCTTTTTATACCTCAGAGTTAAATCTGGAATCGCTTGTGGGCACATTTAGCCTCTGCAGGGGAAAAAATGTAAAAAAAGAAAAGAAAAGAAAAGCATCAAGTTGGGGTTAGCGGAGGCTTAAGGGATGAAACATGTAGCTCTGCCTGAAGTGTGTATTAAGATAATTAAGGCTGCCGACAAATGTATTCCCCCTGCTCCCACTCCCCCGATCATATTCCCATGAATTAATTTTTCTGCTCCTTTCTCTCGATTACCCTTTAAAGTCTCCTGCGAGCGACTGTAAGAGTCCAAAACCAGTTGGGACGGCTTTATTTGCCTTTGCAGACAGAATTTGTCTTTTAGTGATTGAGCAGTGCAGAGCAATAAAATGGACACACAGTATTCACCATTCATATATTCTCTCTTTCATTCACTACAACCTCCCTCTTCATCATCCCCACTACCCCACACCCCACACCCATGTCCTCGCCCTCCCATCCACTGTGTTCCTACCCACCCACCTGCTTCCATGGCTGCAGTGACTCAGTCCTCTTCCAGCTGAGGATACATGAGAACATTATGGGGGGGGGGGGGGGGGGGGGGGAGAGATAAATACTCAAAGAAGTAAAGCAGCCAGAAAGACAAGTGTCTGCTGCATCATTAATGCTACCCACCACACCCACACACCCAAATCCCCCCCCCCACACACAGACACGCGCCGCCCCCGCTCTGAAACGGATGCGCTCTTACTTTATCCGGTAATTCATCCTTAAAAGCAAAAATTGGGCAGGCAGCGTGGAGTGTTTCAAAAATAGTTTTTTCATTTCTCTAGATAGAAGTCTGTGTCGTCACGACTCTGTGACATGGATGGATGATTTCTTAAAGGCGAACTTGCCAAATGCACGCCTTACATGGGCCCTGAATCAGAAAACCTTGAGGAATCAAAGCTGTCGATCATATCACTTTCTTTCTCTCCGAGCGGCGCCAACCCATCTGTGATGTTTTTCACGCTCAGCTCGCACCACGATGGCTTTAACTTCCTCTTAAAGTAGTGGAAAATTGTGCACCGATGTGGAATATAGTGGCAGACAATTATGTTTACTGAGCGGCTGTCTGTGCCTCCCGCCTGCCTACTTCACTCTTAGTTATCAGATTTATTCAGGAACCCGCGGGTCAACGAGACCTTACTTCTTTTTTTAATTATGCAAACTAAATTCAGCATAATGGATCTTAATGGTGGCTGTGTGGCAAAGACACTGGCTTACATAAGAGGTGATCAATCAGGCGGACGGAAAGGGAGGTTTACGACAGTGGGAGGGGCCCATTTTACTGAGAAAAACATGCAGGTGGCTGCTGTGAGTTTACTAAGTGTTTTGCTTCATACAGCAGCACAAGTGCTGCTATGTAGCTGATGATGTATTGTGACATTCACTGACGAATTTCAGTTTCTGTGCTCAAATCCTTCAAAAAATGTCAGCTTTTAGAAAGTAGTTCTTTTCATGTTCAAGACAAGATGCGGTGGATTCCTTTTAGACTCTTCACACCCTCTCATTTAAATGAACAGTGGGGTACAGTTACCCAGCATTCAACAAGATAACCCATCTATGTGCGTCAATAGCATGCCTTAATTGTAGTCATCTTCTTTTCATTCTTCCAACAACCCCCTAATGCTGTCTTGTGTGATATTGTGTACATTCTTGGTTATACATGAAGAATTTATATTTTCTTGTTTCGATTCCCTCAGTCAGCGATAAGATGGCACGAGAAGTCTACGGAGGCCGGGACTGAATTCAGCGGAACCTTCATCCATTAAAAGGAAGATAATTCCACATTACATACGCACAGCAACTTTCCATTAGGTCTGCACAAAAACAAGAGTGGCTGTAAGCGTGCGCTGGAGTCGGCTTATATGCCAGTTTTTTGTTTCTTATTGAAATTTTAAAATTAGAATTTTTTTATGTTTTATACTTTGGCAAAGATCTGAGTGTCTTTAAATGCCATCTGTGGCGCCAAACAAGATTTTCTCTCTGTGTAAACAACAGAGCAGAGATCCTGCGCTCCGCGAGCCGCTCAGAGATGAAACTCAGTTCTGCATATCTGAATGTGCCTGTGTGTGTGTGTGTGTGTGTGTGTGTGTGTGTGTGTGTGTGTGTGTGTGTGTGTGTGTGTGTGTGTGTGTGTGGAGATGGTGTTTGTGTGTGCTGATGTTTATGCCTGTGATCCGTAGGACTGCTGCTGTTTGCAGTGAAGCATGTATTAGCATGGGACTGGAACAGTCCCACACACACACACACACACACACACACACACACACACACACACACACACACACACACACAGGAGGGGAAGAGGAGGGGAGTGTGTGTGTGTTCACTGATTGACGTCACAGACGCCCACTCATTTCCATCTTGTCTGTGTGCACGGAGAGAATAGATCCCCATCTGCATCCAGCTCTTCTCCCCTGCACACTTCCTCTCCTCTCTTCTCCCCTTCCCCTCTTCTTCCTCACCTCCCGTTAGTTTCCTCTTCCTCTCTTTCTCCTCCTGCGTCTTCCCATTCACTCCTGAACATCCCACCCCCATCGAGTACAGATAAACAAGACAGTCGAACACAAACAGTTGTTTAAGACAGCCAGACATTTTCCATTGAAAATGTGAACCTGAACCTGTGTGTGTGTGTGTGTGTGTGTGTGTGTGTGTGTGTGTGTGTGTGTGTGTGTGTGTGTGCGCGCGCGCGCACACTGTCCCCCAGCTTTACGCGTGTGCAAAAAGTGTGACGTCCTTTCCACAACAATTGCTCATCCACATTCACACAGTGCTCTTCCTGCTGACGACAGGGCATCATTTAAATCACTTCCTCGCAAAAGGTCATCCTCATTCTTTTTTACTCAGAGAGCACCCCACCCTCCATCTCCTTCCATGTAACACACACCGAACTACGCGGGGAAGATGTGTGCAAACATGCACCGTCCCTGACCAGAGGGATGCGGACAGGGGGGAGGTAAACGACGGGAGCTGAAAACGCGTGGGATGACAGAATAGGCTGTGCAAATGTTTAAAAATAAATAAATAAAAGGGGGGAAATGGGGGTGGGGGCTATTTTAGTCAACAAGCCTGCCAGGAGTAAGGACAAAGTGAGAGTAAACACTGGCGGTGGAGGGGGGTTCATGCACGGCGGGGGCAAAGCAGCCTTGTGATTACTCAGACCAGACAGTGAAAAGACAGAAGAGGATGAGCAGGCAGACCGGCAGATGGGCCGAGAGACAGATAAAGCAGGCAGACAAACATTCAATTTCAGCCAGAGCACTCAGCACGCACACACAGGCAGAAGATAAAACAATATCGGTAGGGGCTCATTAGAACTTTGATGCCCGATTGCCTTAAGAGAGGGCTGCATGTTTGGTTTGTTTGCGCGTGTTTGTGTGTGTCTCGGTATCAAAGGCGTTAACGAGTCAGAGGGCTGAATGGACGGATCAATGAGAGTGTAAGAGCTGAGGAATATCACAAGGAGTGCACAGATGAAAGAAGGTGGTGAGCAATAAAAAAGAGACCACCCTGGCTGAGATCTGAAACTTTCTGTCTGATCAATAATGTATTTCCTTTAGTTTCCCTCACTTATCGACGGATCTCACACACAGAGGCTGCGAATTAATCGCCTGGGTCCGACCGTGTGCTTTTATCCGGCCCGGCTCAAGTCACACTAGATTGAAAAGTAAATGCATTAAACAACAGCTGATGACAAGAGGATTAAAAGCCATAACGAAGCGAGATGTGAATAAGAAGGGGAAGGGAGGTAAGGAGGCCTTTGAAATGCTTTATTTTTTTTTGCTCTATTAAGAAATGTGTGAGTCATCTCTCATAGTAAATTAATAATAAAAAACAGAATAACGCCTTTTAATGCATGAGTTAATCAAATGTAAGGTTAATCAAAGCTCCACATGAGGCCGTGGGCAAAGAGCGTTTTTTGTTTTGGTTTCTTTTAAGGTATGAAATATGAGACAAGACTGACATCTAGTGGCGGCGAGGCGCAACGACGCTTAACGCACAGCAAGACATCGACAAAATGGAGCCCAGTGCTCGGCCATGACAATGCAGGTCAGAGGGACTGAGACTGCTGCACAGCATAGCGGAAGAGAAGGGGGGAAATAACCCAAAACTAAACAAAATAAATAAATACAAATTAAAATCGAGCGTCATATTGTGCAGTGATTCACAGATAAGTGAAGCACATGAAGACACAAAGCTGAAGCTTAAACCAGAGGAGCTGCTGCAGGCTGTTGCACCCAGTCCAAGCCTGGAAAACAATGCTGTTACAAACACACACACACATGCATGTGTCTTCATATACTTGAACTCACAGCAGCGGTTGACTTTGAGGCTCAACAGAACGCAGCAAGCGTGCACGCTCACACACCCAGTGCTGCAGGCAAGTGCACATCAGAGTCGCCCACTCACACCGTGTTTGCTCAGCAGACTACAAGCATCTTCTTCACCATTCTCCTGCCAGGCCTTTGCCATGAACCGATGCATGAAAGCTTTGTACGTGCAACCTAAATGCGGGGCTCTCTTTAAAGCAGGTTACGAAATAAAGCAGCAACTTCTTCTTTCTTTCAGGGTCGAGGTGAATGTGGGTCACAGCACTCGCGCCAGGGTTTAACGTGAGCGTGTTAAGCCCTAAAGGGGAAGGAAGAAGCGGGCAGTTAGGAACTGTCTGCATCTAGGCCCTTTTTCTCTGGGTTTGTAAAGGCTGCGAGCCAGAGAGGATGTAGAAGCATGACTTTATTAAAGGCTTTGCTCAGTTACTGGGTATGATGTCCTCTCACTGGTGCATTTTAGAAGGATCGATCAGTGGGATGAACAATGAAGGTCTGGCTGACCTTTCGCTGACCTGACCTCCCTTAAAGAGTCTTTTGCAACAGATATTTGCAGTCTGGGCTGTAACAAACATGCCTCGAGTAAGTTTGGAGGGTGAAGTGGACTTGAGTGTGTAATCAGAGAAAGGAGGACGGATGAAATGTGGAATCTATAACCTGCAGCAGCTTCTCTTGAAGGAAATACTGGATTTTGCTAAGTGGCAAGGATGTTCTTGTTTAAAAAAGAAAAATGAATGCAGTCATTTTTGATTATGCGTACAGATAGATCCCGGGAGGCTCTTAAGCACAGTTAGTAGTGGAAATCGCATGCTTTAAAGACGCAAGCAGGCTTTATATTTCAATTCAAAGACAACACATGGTTGCTTTTACCTACGAAACGCTTGAGTTTTGACTCACAACCCATTTTCCCCCATTCATTTCCCTTTATTTATCCCACTCTGTCGTCAAAGAAAGCAAACTGGACACTCCGATTCGAGGAAAATTCCCAGGACTTCTTTTTATTAAGAGAATTTCAGAACATAAGAGAGGGACCGGACACCTGCATATATGTTTTTTTTCTTTTTTTTTTTTCCTTTTTTTTTGTCACAGAAGGATTCCAAATTCAATCGCTGTTAAAAAACCAAAAAAACCGAACCAACCCAGAAAAAACTAAAACAAAAAACAGTGTTTAGAAAAGCTGGCGTGACAGCGTGGATGGAGCGGGAGCTGTTTTGTTTTGTTGTTTTTTTTTAGAATTTTTTTCCTCTTTTCTTTTATACACGCAGGGTCGTCTAAGGAGACGGATCGGAGGCAGTCGCCGTTCTCCGGAATGTTTCACATGTTCGTCTTCCTCTTTCTTATGGACAACACGCTAGTAGTTTTTCGTTTTGTATCTTTTTTTTCTTCTTCTTCGTCAAAACACAATTTCAATGAAAGAAAAAAAAAAAAAAACACCATGAGACAGAAGCAGAGAAACAAAAATGGAAAAAAAAAAAAAAAAAAAAAATGAGGAGGGGACTCACTGCACGTTTATAGAGGTCTAAAAGGAATCGCCCACACCGACATGTCTGAACCGTTGTAGTAAAAACGTGGATAAAAGGGGGGGAGAAAGGGGAGGAGGTGAGGAAGAAAAGGTCTGATTTTTGTGGAGTTAGAAGTGAAACAAACAAACAAAAAAAAACCCACAGTAATACACAACTCACAACATGGCCAATCCGGCAGGGACACGCTTTCTACACCAAAAACAAGCCTTCAACAATCATGAAATGCCATTTAAAAAAGATTTTAGTGTGTTCATTTCGCTTGCAGACACTTTGATATGACCACTGCAAATCTGCAAGGCGCTCCATAATCAGCTTTGCTTTTTTGTGCTAAAAATCTGTACGGATACTTATAAAATCATTGATAAAAATATTCCTCTGTTAACAATACGCCTTGGAGGGAAACCATGTGAGAGAGACTTAGAGGGGGGGTGGGGTGGGACTGGCTGGGGTAGTTTTTTGGGTGGAGTGGGGGGGAAGGGGCTGTAGAAGATGGAGGAGGAGAGAGTTTGGGCAGTGGTGCTACTCGGACTTGGCCTCCTCCTTGGCCTCCTCGGGAGCTGCCTCCACCTAAGGGATGAAGCAGAAAGGCTGAAGTTAAAACTTTGTTCGTTTTTGGTGAAATCGTGAAATTACCAGGGTTGTCCAAAAAGGCCAAGGGGAGGGGCGTCCCCCTGCGCACACACCTCGTTGGTCTTGGCCTCGCCGTTCTCAGAGTGGTTTTCCTCGTTCGCCTCTGCCTCGGCGTTCTCCTTCGCCTTCTTGGTCTTCTTGTCCTCCTTCTTGTCGTTCACAGCCTTTTCTTTCTGTTCAGGTTTAGACACAAGCAGTGAGCATGCTGAGCATCTACAAACGCCCTCCCTCCACCCTCGAATACTACTTCATTTAGCCTCTCACCTTCGCCGCCTTCTTCACCTTTGGTTCCGGCTTGGGCGGGGCCGGTTTCTGGGGAAAGAAGAGGAAAGCGATGTGGAAACTGCTACGCTTGAATACAGCAGCACTACAGAAGTATCTATGATAGTTTAGAGCCTGTTTTTTCCCAGTACTTCTGAATGTTCATGAGGACTTTGGTGCATGAAAGACATCTTTAAACCCCTAAAATGTTCCTGAAAAGAAACTTCTTTCAATAAAGACACAGCGTGCCAATAATTTGCTTCATTAAGAAAAAAACCCCCCACAGTCAATACTGGGGGTCGATTATGCCAGCTATTGGCTTTTAGTTAGTATTACATGTAGATACATGTGAACACATCTTTGAGGTTGATTTTGGCTGTTTTAACTCACTGTAATGTTCATTAATCTTGCTTTAATTGTGAATTTAGGCAAATTAAAGTATATCTGAGACATTTGTAGTAATTTTAATGCACTATATAACTGTTCTCAAGTCACTGCTATGTTTTGTTATGCAAAAACAACTTGTTGAAAAGTTTTGCTTTGCTGGAAAACGCAGTTCTTGCTCCTATGCGCCCCTATGCACACTCAATTTAAATATCTGCATGTGCTACACTTTTAGCCGCTCTGCTTTGTTTGGGTTTTTTACGTGTCCATTCTCATCAGGTGATGTCGGTGAGCGTGGAAAAGTGTGTGCCATCTTACCGCCGATAACCGAGCTGATCTCCTCTGGGGCTGAAACATGACAAGAGGTTGTTGTTAATGCGAGGCTTTTATTTTGACAAGCAGGAAGCACAGACACACAGGTATTTAATCTAAAATTTTTATTTTCCCTTTTAATCTTTCACGTGCTGATTAAAATCTGAATTTAAATGGCGTGCGAGAGGTGCAGCTCGCCGTTTCCTTGCTTACCTCCTCCTTTTCTCCTGCCTCTGCTCCGTGTGCCTGAAAAACACAACACAACAGCTTTAAATGAGTGACTGGAAAAAATAAGAGCTTAGCTGCTGTTTATATCAACAGCGAACAGATGCTGTGCGACCTGGACACATATTAGGATTGGTCATAGAGGTGCTGAAAAAACTTTTCAGTTTCAGGTGAAAAGCAAAGTTCATTTCAAATACAGGTGGGTTTAAGCGATTTACAGGCCAGAAATGCCGGCTCCACGCCTGGATTCCGACGGAGACTGTGAGAGCAGAGTCATGCGGGTCTCTGAGGCCATATTTCGAGGGTCCAGGCCTTGCTTTCCCCTTCCACGCCCCCCCATCTCTTTCTCTCATTCAGTGCATGGAGCTGAGATTTGAAAGCTGGCGCGGGAGTCTCTGAGAAGGGGGAGGGACCATGTTTAGCGGGCTCACAGGCGCCACCGGGCGGCAGGGAAACGTCATCGCAGCCATTTGGGACCGCGAACAAAGAGAGAAAATATATAATTTTATCGAAACGCGACGGCGAATGTTTGTTTTCGCGGTCAAAATGCAAAGTAAAGCCACTAAGGCATTTTCTGGCGCCACTTCGGGCCGGTTTGGAGCCCGAACGGCGATAAGCGAAGCGTTTGTTCTCGGTAGGTCGGGCGACGAAGGTGGACAAGAGCTGCAAAGCATGGCTGCTGCTTGTGCTTTAACTGCATGGAGACCGAGAGAGACTTCTGACTCCCCAAAGGACAGCGGCTCGCACACGAAAAAGGCGTTTTAAAGGCCGTGTCCGAGCAGGAAAATATTCGCTCTAACACAAAAAAAATGCAGATTATATCTAGAAAACAGGCAAAAAATTACCAGCGAAAAATAACCGCTATCCGTTGCGTTATAATTAAGTAATGTCTCAGAGGGATGTCTTCACAATCGTTTTCATTGCATTAATGGCTGCTATCCGCCTCAAAGTATTTTTGCTATTTTCGTAATACGTACCTTTCTCTTGGGCATGTTGATCTCTTGGAGGGTTTCCTTACAAATACAACTAAAAACTGTTTTTTTTTTCTCTGTGGGATCAGTGCATGTGAAGACGAGTGTCTCCCTTATGCTCGGCAGTGTAGTAAACACACTGGAACAGAGAGGCGAGTGGTTGAATGGGGGGAGGGGTGCGGCTAAAGGCATGATTGATAGGCCCTCGGCCAATCGGGTGACGCCATTGGGGGCTGCAGAACACTTGGAATTTTGGAGCCGGTGATGTTGAGGGGTCTGCCGCGAATGGCTTGTTCTTGCAGAGGGAGATGGGAGGAAGCCTGCAAAGAAGGGGGAAAAGGCTCGCGTTCGAGGACATGTTTGCCTTCACACGAGTGAGCCGTGTTAGTGTGTGTGTGTGTGAGAGAGGGAGCCGCATGCATGGTTCATACAGGCCCCGGCGGTAGGCAACATGCCCCCAGTGCGAGCCAGGCATCCTCGCTGGCTCTTATTAAAGCACAGGCTCGCCTCTGCAGAAGTCAGCGGGGGAGATTTAACCATAGATTCACTTCGAGTTTCAGTCCAACATGGCGCCCACTCCTCCCCCTCCTCCTCTCCGACACTTTTTTTGTCAGTCGGCTTTCCTTAAATTCGTTTCAGGGGGGAAAAAGGCCTCGCGTCGACTTCTCCAGACGCCTGCAGGGGGCCCACGAAGCCCGGCTAATAATAAAGCGCCTGCTCTGAAGACGGCGCTTCCACAGGCTGTGCTGTCACACACACACTCTCCAAAAAAAAAAAAAAAAATCAAATCAGATTTTTATTTTCTATCACATTAACCTGCCTCCTCGTTCACACGTAGTGCCGGGACACCTGTAACCGTGCACACGTGCATTGTGCGCCGAACAATAGCCAGTGTCTGGCTTACAGACAAAGGGGTGAGGAGGGGTGGTGGTGATGCTGTGGAGGGGGAGGTCGATGCTGAAATATTCAGGCAGTATAACCCCGTTGCCATCTTGACAGGCCACCTCTCTGTGCGTGTACCAGTCTGAGAGTGTGTGCTTTTCAGCTCCACACACACACACAAACGGAGAGAGAGAGAGAGGCTAGAAGGGGCGGGGAGGCAGAGTGGAGGCGGGGGAGGAATGCAAAGCTCCATCCAGTGCTGAGGACCGGAGCATTTGCGCAGATCGTCTGCGCTGTCTACCAGAGACTGGTACGTTATTTCAGCCTCGGAAGTTTGTTGCTGTAGTTTTTTCTCCTTTGTGTCTCGCTGCTCAGCCGCCCACCTGCACAGTGTCTGCGAGCAGCAGAGCAAGCAGCCGACCAGCTCAGCCCGCCGGACTTTTGTGACAACAGCATCAGGGAGATAAGATGGTGATCAAAGTGTACATAGCATCGTCCTCTGGATCCACTTCGGTAAGATTCGGGGTGATTGCGTGTGGCTTGTGTGCGTACGAGGTGATTGGGGGGTGTATATGCAGCAGCCAGGCCGAACTTTTTTATTCTACTTAACTGATGTCCACCGGGCTGTCATCCTCTCACTGCGCGGGGTGGCCTGACTCATCAGTAAGCATGCAGCTCTGCCGTCCACCACACTTTGAACGCAGCTCGAGTCTCTCCTTGATTTTCTTTTAACTTCGTGCACAGAGAAAGGGGCAGGGAGGAAGTTTGAGGAGCGAGCGGGCGTCTGTCTCTCTCAGCTGCGGTTTGTCACAGTGCTTCCTGGAGTGGCAGTTTATTGGGTTTTTCAGCTGAAACTAGACTGTGAACAGGAAAGACATGCAGAAAATAAAAAAATCAATAGATGAACTTAAAACGATGTGCAGTGTCACCTGATGCCAGAGCAGGACTCTTGTTTTCCTTCAGTAGAGAGGACATTCTTTTAGCTCCAGACTTGCCAGTTTCTTCCAGAGTGCAGAGGAATGATGGTGATGCAATTCTCCAGGGCCCCCCTTTTAGACAAGCAGCTGCAGCCCTGAAGTAGGGTTTAAGACTTCTGGATCAACATAAACACGAGCATGCAGAAGCGCATTAAACACTGAGTTCTTGCACACTGTATCCTACAACTAGTCAACATCAGATGCGATGAAAACATTGCATTTAGCATCGCGCCTGGTGTCTGCAAAGTCTCAAAACTGTAAACGTGCAAATTTTATCAGGAGAAATGCTCCCAAAAAAAGAACCTTTAAAGATTCCTTTGATAAAAGTGTCCAACTTTATAGTCACTTGTTGTACCCTTGTGCTTTAGATCACCTGTAGGGCGATTTTCCTTCCGCCAGCCGTTTGTTTTCACAGCTCACATACAGGAAATAATCAAACAGAGCCTCCTTTCAGTTGGACTGCTCTGAGTGACTTTATTGCCCTGACAGTAAATGACATTTGCACAGGCTCAGCAGCAGGCTTTAGAAAGTGTACTTTATTGGTCCCCGTGGGGAAAATCCCTCTCTGCATTTAACCCATTCACTCAGTGAAGCAGTGGGCAGCCACTGGGCGCCCGGGGAGCAGTGTGTAGGGACGGTACCTTGCTCAGGGGTACCTCAGGGTAGTTGTTCAGGGGAATCGAACCCCCGACCTTCCGATCATGGGGCCACCACTCTACCTACTGAGCTATCCCTGCCCAGGAGCTTCCTGTAGAGTCAGAGTGGAGTGAGTTTAGAGCCAGCGATGCCATCAGCGTCCTGGAGTCTGTCTGGGAAAGTGCATTACCTCTCATTGATTTGTTTTTGGTTAAGTCCTCTAGAAGAGGCGTACGAGCTTTTGCACTGTTTTCATAGTCAGCAGAGCAGCAGCGTTAGAGTTCATTTTGTTTGTTCTTACCATGTTTAACTCATTCCCTTTGATTTTTATTTTAGCAGATGCACTATTGTAGATTATTAAAGCATTTACTGAATGTCTGAATTACACAATATTTAAAATCTCTCTTCGCACATTAGCATGAGCAGGCTGCTGAGCGGGAAATCGTGGCGAAAAGCCTCTGTCGCAACTAAGCTTGCTTTTTTGCGTCCGTGTCTACAAAACAGTGTCATCACATTCCTCTACCCAGCCCCATCTGATACTACATTAAGCACTCGAGTATAAATAAGAATGTGCAGAGAGGAACATCCAAAAACAGGGAGATAAGTAGGAGTATTTAAAAAAAATAATATTTCAAGTGTTTTTTGTTCCACAGAGGAAACTGAATGCAGGTCAGAGCAGCAGACTGTGTGAAGTTAGCCAGAGGGCTATATGAGGTTCAGCACTTGACAAACTACAACAGTCAGCATCATCCAGATAGATGGTTTTGTTTTCCAAGACATTAAGTTCTTCTTTGTGTTCGAGCATTGTGTTAGCTTTTGGGGCTGATTGATTTCATGTGAAAGCTGATCCGTACAAGAGTCAAAGGTCAAAAACAAAGTACTGTTATTTGATTGAGCTTCAGTATTAGTTTGTCATAGAAGAGCACAACATCAGATTTACAGTATGTGTCAATAGACAGATTCCAGTTAGAAAAGGCTACAGTATGGTAATGAAAAAAAGAACTGAGGTGAGTTATGTCAACAGTACTGTTCCTCAAAATATGATTTAGCAAAATGCCACAAACTCCAGTTGCATACGTTGCTGCCACTTGGAAAAAACAGGTTTTTTTCTGACAGAAAAAAATGGAAAAAAGGGAACAACAATAAAATTCCAGAAGAATATGATGAGGAAATACTTTATCCCCAAAATTGGGAAATTACCATGTCCCCAAAACATTAAAAAACATAGCTCTATAAAAATAAAACTATCAGAAAAGAAATAGATCTAAAAAATAGATCACTTTACACTAAAGAAATACATATAAGAAATAAATACACAATGTGAGTATTCTGGTAGGAGATGGTAAATGTATACAGTTGTAATTAGAAGTTCAGATACATCCACCATGGTCATGCATGACATGTTATTTTTTTCAGATTTCCTATATCCAAAAACATAAACTTGGTACAAAAGTTTGAAATCGTTTCAGGTTTTCTCTGATATACACAACTTGCCAAGTTTACATACAGGCGCAAGTATATACATATACACTCACCTTGATCAGGCACTTTTGGTATCAACAAGCGTCGGGCATAATTCTGGATCGATATCTGACCATTCTTCTTGGCAGAATTGGTAGAGTTCATTTAATCTAGTTGGTTTGTTTGCACAGGCCTGGCTTTTAATCATAGTCCCAAAATATTAAATAGGGTTGAGGTCGGGGCTTTGGGAAGGCCATTACAGAAGCTAATTGCTAGCATGTGTTATCCATTCCAAAACCAGTGTTTGGATCATTGTCCTGTTGGAACGCAACTCTCTGAGTAACTTTCAACACTTTATCAGTTGATTTAAAATGAAGTTAAAGAATTTGGAGGTAGTCCTCCTTCTTCATTAACAAGAGCATAATGCTAGCCTTTCAAACCTAACAATAGTGTACCAACTGTCGAGCATAATGCTACCACCACCATGCTTGACAGTTGGTACACCTTTACTCCTGCAACACACCTCTTGTCATTGTAGCCAAACAGCTCAATATTTATCCCATCTGAACATAAAACCTTTCCCCAGGAGACATTTGCATTGTGATGTTGAGTTCGTGAAGTCCCATTTTGAAGCTTTAAGATGGCATTATAGCCAAAAAGCATCTTGGTTTTTTGAAGCCACAAGTGGCCATGTTTTGGTTTTGAGTGCTAAAAGAGAAAGACACAGCTATAGACAGTATGGATGTGTCTCACAGGGAGAGACACCCATGTTTAGTGGCTACAATCGTAGACTAACTCAAGGTACAATACTACGAGGACTCAGTATTATCAGCACTACCTCCAGGAGCGACTAGTGAGTAACATTAACAGTGGAATCTGTTAACAGTGCCTGCACGCTTTTATAAAAACAGCCATATTTTGTGCCAGTGCAAGAAGCTGTGTGCAATATATTGCCAAGTGGCCGTTTGATGAACTGGTGTTTTTGGCACTTTCCCACATCGGTTTCAGTTTTTATCCCTGGAGGTTGCTGCTTGACTTTGGTCTGAGCTAGTTATACAGTATGAAGGAGGGTATCACAATGTGAACTGACATTATTGTATTTCCACCCAGTAATGTGAAGCAGAGCATTTCAATCACTTAGATATATAATATTGTGCTTTCGTGTAAGTTCTCTAGGGATGTTTTCAATCCTGTTGCTAAT